TTTATTGCCCTATTACATATTCTATGGCTCAACATTTGATAAATGACTCACCTTATACTTTTGGCATATGCGGCCTTCTCATGTAACAATTTATAGGATTTTGGCTAGTCCCGCCGATGTGATGCATTTAACAAATGGGTATATGGTGTTGAGCAAAAGAAATGAAAATTGTGGTGTAATTTGCCTGCGGTGTAATTTGAGACAGGCCAGCTCATTGACAATTTTTTTTTGGATAACGGATAATCCTAGCTTTGTTGGAATTTAAATTGAAGGACATGTATTAGAATTTTCATATTACACATGTATTTTATATTTGTAGTCCTCTCCAGTGAGAAATATAGCTTTGTACGATTAAAAATTTGATAATAAAACATGTTTGATGCGTTACTGTGGATGTAGGTCTTTGACTGAAACACATTAAAAACAGGTATGCTTTTTTTATTCTTAGCACTTTTTTAGCATTTATTTGCACAATTGTTGGGTAATTCAGATAATTTGATTATTATGTGATACTTGCAATTATTTGTATAGTTCCACAATAGGTAAGACATCTGAAGGGGGTCCCTCTGCAATGTGGGATAAAAAAGTCACCAATATATTTTGTGATCTATGTTTAAAAGAAATTGAGTTGGGGAACAGGCCTAAAACGTACTTTAATAAGGAGGGCTGGAATAATATTGGTATGAGGTTCAAAGAACTAACTGGCATAGATTACGACAAGCTTAAATTCAAAAATAAATGGGACCAATTAAAGAAGGAATGGAAAATATGGAAGGAGTTGAAACATAGATCTACAGGTTTGGGTTGGGATCCGATTAAACAAACAATTGACGCTCCCGCTGAATGGTGGACTGAAAAATTGGAGGTAATTTTATATCTACTCCGTGATTTGTTTGCTTAACTATTCACTTTAAAATGTTATGTCACAGGCGGTACCTACAGCGAAAAAGTATAGAAAATACGGGATTGAGCCAAAATTTGAAGAAAAACTGGACATAATGTTTAAATGTATTGTCGCAACAGGAATATTTACTTTCAACCCAAGTGAAAGTACCTTTTCAGGGATGCCAGATGAATTCACTCCTGAACCATTAACACCTGATGAAGATGTGCGTAACATTAATCAGAGAGATACGGGGGACTCTAGCACAATAAAGAGGTCCAAGGTTGCTAAGAAAAATAAAGAGAAATAACATGTTTTGAACACCTCATTCGATCGTTTGATTGAAACATTTGCAGCTCCACCTATGTCTGATGCAAGCATATTAGAATGTCTGAGGCTTTTGCGTTCTATTCCTGAAGTTGTTGCAGATAGGCGATTTCACGCACAGTGTGTGAAAAAACTTGAGGATTTAACTAGAATGAAAATATTCATGGCGCTTGAGCTTGAAATGCGTCTTGAATATTTACGGGTTTTGTTCGATGAATGATATTTTTTATGGATTCATTATGTATCAACACTAATTGAACTTCTACTTATGTTGTTTTATTTTTAATATATGTTTGTCATTCTATATGTGTCATTCTACATGTGTAATCTTTCTATATGTAGCAAATGAGAACTTTTATTATTAGTGTTTTTATATGTAGCAATCTACAATTGTTAATATTTTAATTTGTTGGATAGTTGAATATTAATGTTTATATTTTAAATCATTTAGGA